CACACTTAATTTTAACACAACCATGATAAGCACTGCCTATGAATTTTTTGGTTGAGTCAAAATATTTCACTTTATTATATCTGGTCTCTTGTAGCTTTCCTTCACATATGTAGCATCTTATGGCAGACTTATATGTTCGCCAATCTCGCTCTGTCATTTTTATTTTTTTCAGATTACGTAACTTCAGCTTGATAATTTCTTCCAAATCTCATTGTATACTTTTCTATGACTCCACAATTGAGTTCAGGGCTCTTCTGGAAACTTCTTTTACAAGCTTCCCATCTGTTTGGATTAAAGTATAGCCGTAACTATTGGGCTTCTGCTTCTGTAGTTTAACGGTCTTTTCATTGACAATATTTTTCTCTACCAGATAGATCCTTAACGAAATAAAATGGAACATTTTCCATAGTCCCATAGTTTTTGAATTTCATGATATGCATCTCCTTTTCAGAAAATATTTCTCTTTGGCCTGCATTAGGATTATTTCGTCCATGACAATTGTGCTTTATATGCTCTTTGAGCAGATCCTTTCTTGAAAATGGAGCAATTATACAGTGGTGGCAGAAATATTTTCATTCCTTATACTTATTCCAACTACTCATAATTCGACTCCACCCACTTTCATCATTGATAAGACAATAGTGCGTATTTAATCATGAAGGGATTTCATTGATATTACAGCGATCTCTCAAATCTTCCTCTTCTTCGGTAAATAAAATTAAATCCACCATATGTTATCTTTGATAATTGTATTCTGATATGTGGAGAGGGTCCAGGTTTCTGGTTAATTGCTCTTTGTCATTTTTTGTTGGCGCTGGATAAAATACATTTATTGCATAATTTGGATTTTTCTCTTCGAATAAGTCTATATCTCGCAATGTGGCTGGGAAATTTATTCCAGTAAAATCTAGTATATTGTCAAAGCGCCTTAATCTACTATCTTCATGAAGATTTCTCGCTCTAGTTTCCTGTCTACAAGCTTCTTTACTGGCTAAATAAGTTTTCATACATACTTCAAAACATCTGTTATCTTTATTTTGTGGGTTAATTATTCCTAGCTGAGGCTTGGCCCAAATCTTTGGTAAAGCAAAATGTGATCTATCTCAAAGTGGTTGATAAGTGCTTATTTCAAGAAATATTTTTTTTTCATATTCAAAAATCCAACCCGAATGTTGACTACGTTCCATTTCATCGATTTTATTTAAGATTTTATGGTATTGTCATGAGACTGTTTGGTCTATTCTATCCTGGCGAATAATATCCAATATTTCACTTGAAAATGCTATGTCTTGATCAGTTTGATGTCCAAAACGTCCTGTTTGTACAATCCGATACATATGAGCAATAAGGACTATTTTTATTTTAATGCTACTTAAACGTGCTAATTCCCTTTTATAAACATCACTAATTTGCTCTTCAATATCCTCGAACGTGACTAAAAGATCTTTTCGATATGGATAAGTTTCTGGGATAATAGCAAGATAATCGACATATAAGCTTTGATCAGAAATTCTTCTAGTTTCTACTACTCTTTTCGGAGCTGGATCTTCTATTCTTCTAAATATTATCTTGTCCTCTTCTAGTTCAGACTCATTATCAGATTCAGATTCAGATTCAGATTCTGATGTTTCTCCTTCATTGGCAGTCTCATAGTCACTGTCCCCTTCCTCTTCTGACTCTGAGTCTTCTTCTAGTGGCTTGAAAGGTTCGGACAACTCGGGTGGCATTGGACCTTTCCAGAAATTTCTGAACAATTGTCCTAATGTGCCGGTGATACTACTGAGTTAACCGCTCATTTTTTCCTAAAATTATATAGAGTTAGAAAAAACTTTAAAATAAAAATTATTTTATTCAGATAATTATTGTTAGACATTTATTCAAAAAGAAACTATGGGAGGTAGAAAGTAGGAGACACAATCTCAGAAGGATCCATTCTAGAATTTTTATTATTGTCCATATATTCTTAGGACTGGAAAAGAGTGCAATCAGAGATGCTATAATCCAAAAGGTTATAAAGTCCATTGAAATTCACCTATATAATATCCATATATAGAACCTGAATGCGATAATAAAACTTTTTCTGAATATAGTGCTTGTAAAAAACATTCAGGTAAGCATCATTCTAGAGCATTTTATTAACGTCTGAAGCTTGCAAAAAATCAGGCTAATGACGGAGAATGTTCTGATAGTTCTGAGGATGATCTGGAATTAGATTTGTTCAGTGAATAGTCTGGAGATAGTGACGGGAATATTCTAAGGTTGATCTTGGAATCCAATATGTATGCATTTATATCACTTGATTTTTTTTATGTATTGCTGACACATGCTTCGCTTTGCTCTACAACCATACGATCATATCTTGTGTACATGCTTCGCTTTGCTTCACAGTCTGCGAATACTATTTGCTTTTATATCTTGTGTACATGCTCCGCTTCGCTCTGCAGTCTAAGAACACTATTTGCTTTTATATCTTGTATACATTTTCTGTTTTGCTCCGCAGTCTGCGAACACTATTTGCTTTTATGTTTAGCGTTCATATATGTGAAAAATTTTGTTACCCAAAATGGATTCCAAAAAGGTTTCAGACTGGAACGTGCCAAAGTAGAAAAATTTGATATGTAAAATTTGATATATGAAATTTGTAATACCCAGGATGATTTTCTGAAGGTCATTCGGGGTTTTTGTGCCAAAAACCCCATTTTTAACTACTTATAAAAATAAAATATAGTTATTAGAATCGCCTCATTAAGATAAATTAAATGGTAATAAATTTATATCTTTAAGTATAAAGCTTGTATAATTATAAGATTAAATGCTAAATAAATTAGCAGTATTTATTAACATTTATTACATATGACATTTTATAATATTTTTTTACATCTAGTAATCACAGAAAAATAAATTATAGCTTATTAAATTCATCTTATTGAGATGAATCTAATGATACTAAATTTATATTTCTAGATGCAAAACTCACAAAATTATGAAGTTATAAAAAAAATTGTCAGTTTTTTCCATCACAACTGTATATTATGCCTATTACTATTATTATATTATATTATCATAATTATTATATAGTATTAATCATCATTCACTGAAGTTCTTTGAATTGAGCATAAGAAATCAGATTTAGATTTTTTATAATCTTATAGGTTTTAGAATTTCTAGTTATTTTGAAAAATCTTTTAATTGTAAAGAAAATAAAAAATTAAGAATATTGTTAGATTAATTTTAATATACTGTAATAAACCAAGTATTTTGTATTTTAAAAATATGAAAAAATAAAATTTAAACATTAAATTCAAATTGTATTAATCAAAATAATTAATAGTAACACAATCATTTAAGATTCAAAAAGTAACAATAATTCTTAAAGAAAGGTCAGATATTGTCACAACCTAATCATTATGCTTCACGTTATCTAAATTAATTTATTGTGATTTTTTTATTGCAATTTATGATTTATTAAATAAATTGTATTTATATATTATAATGTAATTAATTAATGTAATTAATTTAATTAATCAAAATTCAATATTTTATTTTATTTAATAAAATTATTAAAATTTAAAATTTATATAGATAAAATTACCTGAATGATTTCACTTAAAAAGAAGGAGAAAGGGAAAAAGTTAGGCTTTTTTAATTATTCTCTATAATATGTGTAAAATAATATAATAATCAATTTTCAAATTCTAAAATATTCCAAATAGTTGATTTTTGATCAGTACCTTTACTAATATCCTTCATAATACATCTAAAAAATAATAACAAATGATCATGATTTTTACATTCAACAGTTAAGTATGAGAATATTTTTAATTCAAGCTTCTATGTATTAATATTATTTTATAAATATGATATACTAGTATATGTATATAAGGCGTTATATCTTTAGAAATATATAAATTATAAATATAATTTGAAGTATTAGGTAATTTAAAAGAAGGTGTTAAAAAAGTTGAAGTTAAGCAAATGCTTTTTGTTTAAATTCAATTGGATTGATCTAAAAATCATGTATTAATTCATATAATTTCAAAAAAGAATCCCATAAATTTTGAATTTTTAGAGCTCGTGATGGTTGAAAAAATTTGCTAAATCAAAAATTTAAAGAATTTTAAGTTTTTCTGATCTCATCAAAAATGTATGATACCAGGTTCTTGTTTTATAATCTTTATAAAAATGAAAATAACTTTAATATGCTTCATTTCTTCAATAATTAACTTTCATGTATAATCATTCCATTTTTTTGTTTCTTTAAATTCTTGAATTATAAGTATCCAAAGATGATCTGTAATTTGAAACATTACATGCAACTCATCAATCACTCAGTTTTTAATAGAAATCATGCTAAATAATGGTTTATGTATATGATCAGGATAACAAGAAAAATTTTTTTTTAAATTATTCATATTTTTTGTTATGTTCCAACATTTTGAAAGATTACTTTGATCATGTTTTGTTACTATACATCAAGGATAAAAATAAGTAGAATTTGCATAATTTAATTCTAAATAAAGTGCTAAAAACTTTCAGTCAGAGCTAAAATATAGCTCAATATTCCAATTAATTCCAGTTTAATCTTGAAATCCATATTCTTTTAAATGTTGAAGTTTTTTAAGCATTAAATTTAATGCTATTTATAAAATAGTGTAATTTTCAGTTCTAGGATAAAGAATTATTATATAGTGAGAATCTGGTTTTTGCAGATTGTCCTTATCATTCATAATTGCAAAAGTAACTATACAGTCAACTCTTGATATAGCAAACTTTTGATATAACAAATTTTTTGAACAAATATAATAAAAATACTCTTGTTATAGTGAATTGGCCAATCAAATCTCTTAAAATCTTCACTATAGCCTTATAGCAAAGTTGAGGTCTAAGATATAGAGTTCGTTATAACAAGAGTTGACTGTAGTATGCTTTACTTGTCATCAACGTTTCACCCATCACCTAAAATCTGAAGATAAATTATTAGATCATCTGAATCTTAAATATCACATTTCACTAAAGAAGGAATCAAATATTTTTATAATACTTCTTTGTTTATCATTCCCAATTGATTCATAAACCATCTGAATTACTTCAGAATCAGTTATAGCTGAAGCATCTTTCAAAGTTTCATTAGAGTAATGATGATGTAATTTGATAATATAAATCAGAATCTTTTCTTGCATTTCATTATTAATAGATAATTTTTCTTTTGACATTGCCCATTCTTTAACAAGATTATTTGATAAAGGTATAATTATTTGATAACTATTTCTAGGTATTTGTCCTTGATCAATGGCTTTTAACTGTAAAAATACACTTTAATTTAACTTCATCTTCATTTATTTTTCCAAAATCAATTTGAAAAATATCTTTATTTTGAATGCCAAATGTTACTGACTTTAAAACTGGGTTATCATTAGAATTGTAAAAGCAGTTACTAAGTTCTGTGAAAGTTGATCTAGTATGTTTAGAAAGATTTCGAGCTCTTTCATTTTTTGTCTTTATTGTTATTTTATTATAAGCCTTTAATTTTCTAGTCCTTGTTTCATGTGCAGTTCTTAAGATCTGAAGTTGTACACCAAATAATAATGTATCTGATAACAGAGTACGAGTATTAGGATTAAGTTTCTATTAAATTAAATAAAGAGTGTTAATATAAAAAATAAATATACAAACTTTGTTATAAAATTTTAATATATAGAAAATTTTACCTTTTGTATTTGTGTTGCTGTAGCTGTGCACGATTGTGTAGTTTCTAATACCTGGTCAAATTTATCACCATAATATATCCTAAAGATTGGTTTAGAATTTTCATATTCTATGGAACATTTAACGACATTAGCTTTCTTTTCCCAGGTTGTTAAAACTTCATAATTATCAGGTAGTGGAAAACTATTAGGTTTTCTTGAAAACTTTAGAAGGGTTTTATTGGGGTAAAAACCTTCTTTTATAATTATATAGTGAAATGTTCGTTTTCTTCTTTGTATGTTATTTGTGGCTTATCGGGATAGGCAGCATTATTTATTATAATATATTGTATTACAAACAGTAGCCAATTGTTTTCTGCCGCAGTATACGCATGATTTATTATTTATTAAGTCAAAGTTAACTGACGCACATCTGCTAATTAATTACATTTTATTGGATGTCAACTAAATAACCTACATCTACTACTAGGGTTGTTAAAGTCTTAGGTCCTAGACTTAAAGACCCGGTCTTAAGACTAAGTCTGCAGATCATTAAGTCCAATT